GTCACAGACAAAAACAATGCATTCAAATTATTTTTAATGATCTCGTTAACAGAGAGCGTAATTCAATATGACTGTTCAGTCGAGGGTCAAGCGAGTCTGCCTCGACGAGCGTTACTTGTTCATATTACCAGTAATTGTCCAAGCTTCAGTTGATGGATCGTATATTTCTGCAGTATCTAAAATATTGTCACCATCATATCCTCCACTGACCAATACTTTTCCATTTGGTAAAATAGATCCTGCAGCGTAATTTCGTGAATTGTTCATACTACCAGTCATCGTCCATATTCCTGTCAATGGATCATACAACTCTGCAGTATTTAAAAAATCACTACCATTAAATCCACCAGCCACCAGTACCTTGCCATTTCTTAATACGACTGCTATATGGGCATGACGCATATCATTCATAACACCCGTCGTTATCCAGCGTTGTGTGACTGGATCGTACAGTTCAGTAATATCAAGAATAGAAGAATTTTGAATCCCTCCGACCACTAGTACTTTTCCGTTTTCCAGTAAAGAGACAGTGTGTTGGTATCGTACAGCACTCATATCACCAGCAATCGACCATCCTAGACAGTACACTTCGTGCAATGAATAAAACTAGATTATTTTATCACTTACCAGGCTTCTTGGTAAGAGTAGTTGTTAATGTCGATGTTGACGTTAATATTGTCGTAAACGTAGATGTGGACCATAGCATTGTACTACTGGTATTGTCCGATTTTTTTGGAGCAAGAATAGCAAATCTTAGCAGAAGACCTAATGTAATAGCAACTATTACCACTATTATGAAAGCAATGCAAATGATTCTGAGTCGAGGATGTTGCCAGCATTTGAACGATCTAATATTCCGAATATTATATTGGGTATATGCTTTGTTAGTATGCATCTGACAAAAGAAAAGCAAAGAAACTCGACTAAATCAGCAAACGAAAAAAGCTGTTGTTTTGTCTTAGTTTATATCTACGCAACATTCATTTAAAAATAATAACAGGTAGCATGCGTCATCTTTTCATTGCAAATATTACGTATCAACATGATAAAACACTAGTATCAAATAACTTTGTCATCTAATGGTCTACTTATCTTTCATAGATGACATGCGTGAAAAAATGTACCTGGTATTGACTAATCGTTTATTACAATGGTTTCCTTACAGAACAATCCAATTTTGATCCTGTATCTCAACCATATCGGAAAAGATGTACGATAGCGAAGTAAATAATTTTATTCAATGCAGTAAACTGACAGAATATAAAGCAGAACATGAAACGAATCAAACGTAGATTTAATTTTTACGAGATTTTCTTCGCATAAATTTCCGCTAAAGTCATTGGTACTTGAATTTGGTCTGCTTCTTCAACGCCCAATTCTTTCGCTAAACGTCGACTATTTTCCACTGATAATTTATCAAATTTATGTTCAACTAATAAACGTCCTTCGCGACATAAAGCGGGATCGATGTTTTTGATTTCACAATTAAATGTCGCAATGATTTGCTGATGCATTGCATCACCTAACAATCCATCGCTAAGATTTAGCAGATTGCTAACAGCTTGATTGGGATTGACACTTTCTTTACGATCAAGTATGATATTCTCCGAGTCTTCGATAATCAAAATAGAATTTGGATACTGCATTAGAAATGGCAAAAAGCCAGGTTTCGAAATTTCCTTAACAAAAAATCACCTTCAGACAAGTCAATTTGCAAAACACGTACTTACCGTCACTAAATCTGGTGGAATGTAGATCAACATTTTCTCGGTAATTTCGTGAATTAAATAGCGAATATAATAAGTTTTCCCAGTTCCCTGAAACGATCAAAAGATTATTTCAATAAACAACGATGCAGAATTTATACCGGTGGTCCATGTAGGAAAGTAATACCAGTTGAATCGGTTTCATTCAGTCATTTTAGCAATTTTTCATGCACTTCAGTAAATTGTTCTCCATAGTTAAGACGTAAATCTTTGATTAATGGTCGTTTAATCGAAATTGATGAAGTATAAAAACCCGATTGAGGATTGTAACAAACCATTTGCAAACTTGTTTCTTTTACTGAAAACAGTTTATATCGGTGTAACTGATCCAACAAAGAGTGAGCCTGCTCAACCACTTTTGGAACATAAAAGATCTATCAATGTACATGTTTTCTATCTTTACAATGCAAAGATCGGACCAAACTTATCACAAAAGAAGTGTTACAAAAGAATTTACCATTATCCGTATCTGGTTGGAAACCAAATGGATTATCCATTTCTCCAACAGATATATTCCCACCCGATATGAATATAGACAAATAATCATTCAAATCAAGGTATAGATCAGAATAAAAAGAGATTTTTCGTTCATATATATATTGTGAATTTGATACGATTGAACATGGATCAATTTGATATTGATCGAGTAAATACTTGACTACACTGAAAAGAAAAATTCTGTCATCGACAATTGCACCTTACAAGCTTTTACCTGGTTGTATGAAAAGTGTATAGAACGGTATTATCGGCAATTTGAGTAGAATACGAATTGCTGACCATGGTGCATGGTAATACACGATATTTAAGAGCAAAAAGTCGAGCTGGTTGAATGGTTCCATGCAATGACATTTCCATGAGAAGTTGTTCATGATTGGCAACCGTTTTGGGGTTTATGTAGCCTTGATAATTCTCTGTGATTCTTTCTGAGTTCGATGTCATTCTTTTGCAGATTAGAAAGGCAGCAAGCAATGTCTTTATATACGGCGGGATATGAATCAACTCAAACGTCATTGCTTGTTAGTTGTGCAATGTTGTTTTCTTGCCCTTACGATTATTTGTTACCTCATTGACAAAGGCATTTGGGTAGATGTCCATAATATGACGAAATGAAACACACTCGGAAGTTTTACAATAATTCAAAGAAATGTTTATGATTTCGATATCTTGACGTCCAACGTTTTCCATGGATGCCGCAATCATGCAGCTATATAGACAAAGCAAAACGATAATGGTTGCTTGTGGTCTCGTATTCTTCTTTGCTCTTGCCAATTGAGATCAAAATATATTGGATCGTTTCTAGTGACCTTTGACCACTCTTTTCATCCTTCATGACATGAGAAATACTCAAACGTCAGTGCATTCTCTCATTACAATGCTCAGTTAATTGAAAAGTCGCTGAAATTTCAGCATCAATAAATTCATATTTTCCAACATTCAGGTTCATAATCGTACAGGTGCATCTCAAATGAGCATAACAAAGCCGTTTATGTTATACGGCAATCGAATATACCTTTTCAACATAGTTACGATCCAATGTAAAAAGATGAAAGAAAATATATTTCATGTCGAGCATATTGCACGATTTAATGAAAACGTTTCTCATTATTGATATACTTATTTTCACGTCGTCACGGCAACGATCTACATCATATTCACGTCGAATATCCATAAGGATATTTGACAAACTTTTTCTCATATATACATTCATTTGAGACGCGAAGTAATCACTATTCTAATGATTTATTTGCGTACTGATAATGTCCACCCTATGCTTCACACATTTCTGCATTAAAACAAATCTGACATTTACGAATGATTTTCTCTCTCTCTCTTTGATAAATGTTAATATTTGTACGAACGAAAAGTTGATGAATATGTCGAGAGATGTTTTATTAGGAATTAGAAAATAATCAAAGTCATTAAAATGTATTCATTCAATGGTTTATTTGTTTTTGAATAAATCAGCGCAAATCTTGTTGCAAGCTTTGGTTGCTTCACCCACTGACAAGCCTTTTCCTGTTTCAGGATTTCGTAGTTTTCCTACGCATTCGATTCCGCATTTCAGTTCTGGATTGATTACATTGTAGCTATCTTTTCGTTTGGTAAAAACGTCGCCGTTTTCGTTCGAATCGCTCTCACCTGTGTGAACCAATCGATGAACAAAGGAATGAATAAGAAAAAGACAAAATTTTCTCACTTGATGTGATCGATCGTTCGATTTGTTCATTGTCAAGATAATTGAGAATTGAACGAAGTTCTAATTGTAGATCTTCGTTATTTTTGTCGTCATCAGCTTCCACATTTCGTACTGATGGATAGCAGATGACATGAGCAATCAAAAGACAAAATACTACATAAAACTAAATGTAGTAGAAAGAGAAGAGGTTATTCTCAAAATTTTACCTGTAAATGTGAGATGCATATCGTGTCACAGGTATTCGAAAGAAACGAAGTCTTGAATAGTGTATGAATAACGTGTTTTCATCGCTTTTTATACACTTCGCATTGATTCGATATTATTCATGTATTAATTTCTGCTTTTAAATTCTTTCGTTCTGTTCTCAATTATTTGCGCTTTCTCTCTTTCTCTCTAATGCCAATATTACAAAAAAAACGTAACGTCATACAAGTACATATATCGACAAAAAACAACTCTCGTGTGCAAATAATGAGTTCTGTTCCACATATACGAATATACATATACCAAAGAGCCGATGTTAATAGGTTATTCATGTTATTCATTCAGTCATAAATAAAGTACATATACCAGAAAAAAAACACATCTAAAGCTTGGACTAAAACAACATTTGTTCAATTGTGTATAATATGTCAAAAATACTATCTCGTGTTACTTGTTTGTTTTATCTGTAGTTTCGCTTTTTGATGCAGTGATGTAATGCATAGAGAAGAAGTCATTTTGAATCCAGAATAACTTGTTCAATGCTATGATGATTTCGTTCTTCCGTCTTTCGTCGATTTCATCATGATGAATCACGCCATCGATCAACACATGTTCNACGTAGACTATCTTTATGCATTTCGATTGCTTTTCTGGACCACTTTGGACTATTGGTAAAACACCCATAGAATATGAGATTGAGTGGCGATTTATCCCTGAGACCTTGGTGCCATTGATTCTTCAGATTATTCCACCAGACTGTCCAGTTTGTACTGTTGAATTTTGTCTCGTCGTCCGCAGTTTCTTGTAACATGTCTAGAATATCCATGTAGACTTGTCCATCTTCTAACTTCTTAAATTCTTCGATAATACTGGAAGCAGAAAATTTATTCTGCATGTCTTCCGGCTCCGCTGGTTTCAATGTAATTAAAAGATAGGAGTCATTGTTTTCCATTTGTTGCCTTTCGATTTGAATGATGCGAAAACGTGTAACAAGAGAAAACAGTACTTCTCGTTCATGCCTCTTTTCAGAGATTGAAGTAATATCTGCAAACACCGGTGCTTCATAGAAGCGGCTTTCTGTCGAGTCACAGCGATTGTCAGTGATGATGATTTCAAACAAACAAGAAACGACAGCATTTTCAGGCAGCGCAAACCTAAATGCAACATTCGGATCCCTTGATGTCGAACCAAATGTGGTCAAAGTGATAACAGGATGATTGGAGTTCCAGACTGAATAAAGATGATTCACTTGTTCTTCAGTTAGATGTTGTCCTCGATAAACACTCCGAATCAATTGTTCTTTGTCCAAATTTTTATAATCGGCTGACTGACGCTTGCACAACTGACCATGTAAGTCTCGAATAAACAGGCTGAGTATTCTGATAAGTGGCATGCGTCGTGTACGCAATGCGTGATTGAGAACACAATAAACAAAACTATCGCGCGTGTATTCTCTGATAACATTATTCGGTCGATATTGTTGGGACAACAGATTTATCTCATGAAGTTTTGCTTGATTATTCTTATAGTATGAACGACATTCGTTGAACATAGCATCATACGGTAATGCTATAGTGTCAGGTGTGTGACAAATCAGTGTAAGAAATAAATGAAACCATTGGGAAGTGGGTACTGACGATTTGATAAATGATCTTTGTTCGAATGGCCATCGGTTGCTGAATGTTCTCACATCTTTGTGAAGCTTTTCGATTAGTGTTGTTGGATCAGATGTTACAGATCTGACTTTCTCGACTCCATTCGTCCACTCTGTGTGGTGGCTCTCATGTCTACAATAGACGTATACGAATCTGAGTTGTCTTTTCTGTATGAGTTGATCACGATATTGCTTTCCCAGTGTACCAGAAATGATTAAGAAAACATCAGTCTCTAATTCAGAATGAACGAAAACAGGACTGTTTTTGATATCATCAAACGATTGGAAACGATCGTTGTTAAGCATCGTCGGAAGTTCCTGAAGAAAGTGTTGTTTATCTTCGATGCCCACAATAGCTACCAAGTAGTCGTCGAAGTTGTTAAGTAATTTGAGATTTGATGACTGCAATGTATTTCCGTCAATAGGACGTTGAGTCGTAGCTTCTGCCATTGGCGACGATAAGCAAAACTAATCGTTTTGTCTGACGTACCAAACTATATACGACTTGTGTACAACACGTGCGCGGAAGAGAAAGAACTGTGGAAAAATAGTTATCGCTCGTAACGATATGTTTCTACAGTAAATGTGCGTGTCGATGTAGTTTATATTTTTCGTAGGCGAGCACGTCGAAGATAAGAAGTATGTCGTAATTGTAAGTGTTCGAAAAACATTCATAAGGTAAGCTCTTTTTGTCGGATTGCGAAAAGAAGAAGAGCGAAGAAACGATCGACCCGAAGGAACGAGAAAAAGACGAAGATAAGAAAAGAAAGTATGTTATATGTCTCGTGCTCTATCTCTTCTATCTTATTCCTTCGCTATTATATTCTGTGAAATGTCTATGAATACTGAAAGAGAACGAAACAGATGTGGATGCGATGGCTTATATAAAGAAGGAGAAATATATACTTAGTATCAGGAGAGACAATGTTTACCAGGGTAGATCGTTAAAGCTTTTCTTGTTTGACCTTTGATAGAGAGTTTACATAGCGTACTGAAGTTATTGCGAACGATATCGTCAACTGAACTTCATAAAAAAAAACAGATTAAATCAATTGTGGCAGATGTTTTTAAATTACCTTTACTACAATATTGAAATCTATTTACGGCGGCTTGTTCGTCGGACAGATACTCGCAGGATGATAGCCCGCACCGCACTCATTGAAATCAGTCCATTTTCCCGCATTTAAAATGCAATGGAAGTCCAAGAAGCACGATATTGTTTGACTTCATCTCGTGTATTTGTTATTCAATTTTTGTTTAAACATTGTATTCGTCAGACAAATTGAAAAACTGCATTAAATATTTCTTTCAGTTCCTTTATTGCAGTAGCAGTGGGGTCAATAGGATTCTACCAGCGATGAGCCTAAATTAACAGCACAATTATGAAAAATGCTGCTTAATGATAGCTGAGACACTGTGCAGCTCTACGTCCTAGTTTCTCGTTCATTTCAGATTTGGAGTCACTTTTTTTGAAAAAAATTTGTGTATTTGTTTGTTTGCTTGCAATACTTTGAATAACTGTAACAATATGACAGCAATTCTGTGAATACCAGATAATTCAACCATTCTGTAACAGTTTCTTTTGGGATTTTAAAGAATATAATAATAATTTTCGACTTTCCAATAGTTTTCAACATTTCCGTTAGACTTTCAAGAGCAGAGAAAGATTGCTAATTACGAATATTCATTGTTTTTCGTAACTTACTGTACAATTAGACTTGAACTAATTCGAACTCGAATCTCATATCATTCTCGCTAGCTTTTGGAGCACTGGATCAATCTTATCAAGAAATTTGATTACTTTGTACATGATAAAATGGGATACTGTGTAAAATAACTGATTGCAGCCGATAGTTCCATAACAAAGATCCTCAGAAGCATAAAGAGAATCACATCGTTGCTTGTAAGCCTAATCTGCCTATGTCTCGTGNTGATTTCCATCAGTCGTCATTGTGCCTTTGAAGTCATGAGTGGTGCGAAGAAAGTAGTTTTTTGTGATGTCATATTCTAATAGTTTCTGATAGATGATTTCAGCTACCGAGTTGATCAATGGTGTGGCGACGCGAGCGAGGGTGTTTAATGCAGTGATGTCATCGGAAGTGAAGTTGAGAAACTTGGATAAATAGTCGAATCGATAGCGAAGATCGGTGTCCAAGCGAGAACCATCTATATGCTCAGACATGATAAAAGTGAATGAAAGTATCAAGATATGCGTGATTTTATAATAACATCGACAGACATATCAGTTCTGTTTTGTTTCTCTCTGATGTTTAATTATCCATATTGAATAGTAAGCGAAAGAATTTCTCAGTTCTTCCACATCTGCTTATTGTTCGTGTTTCATTTTTAGCAACAGAAAAAAGATTTTCTCACAAATTACACTAGACTATCTATGGATCAGAAAAACGTCGTTTCTTCCAACGCACTCTAGTCGGAATATGTTTCTCTGTAACGATTAGGGTATGCAGATAAACTTCATTTTATCCACATTCACTCTCTTACTGCGTAGTATAACTCAAATAAATCTTGCATATTGTGACAAGAATATCGAGTTTTCATCGAGCGGTGAATTTGATCGATATTACGTGAGAATTGGTGACATAGTGGTATATCATGTTTTAGTTGTCCAAGAAATATCCATCCATGCTTATTTTCCTTGTATCGCCATAACATGAGCAAAGTCATTATTACGCCCCTCTTTTATGGCATTACTTAGTTTTCTTACTAGGAATCGATCCTGGTCATAATCTTCGATAGATAGACCGTCTTATATATGATAACTTTCAAGAAAACTGCTACATGATGGTCAATCCGAGTCTTGAAGCTCGCAATATCTACAGTATTATTCCTTATGATATAAGTACACACACATACAGGCGTTTTCGAGATGATGCATATGCATTGACGCATTCTTCAAACATGATAGATAAGTTGCAATGTTAGATCGGTGATTTATCCACATTAGTTTCTATCTTTGAATTTGGCAAATATTCTACTAGTCATCATTTTATAAGTGTTACTATACCTGCTTTATGGGAATGCTTTCTTTATTCGCCAAAGTAAAAAAAAAACGTTCAGAAATCACAAGATTCATGGATCAGAGAAAACGTCTTCTCTTTCCATCGTAGTCAGATCTAATCTCGATTCTCTATAACTATCAGGTATCGGTTTACAAGTTTCACTGACGGTAACAGTTTCTCGTTCCAGTGCTTCTAGCTTAACCAACAGGTTGTCATTAAAAACATCACCGAAAATATGTTGCTTTGTTCCCTCGTCGATCACATTCACGAACTTCATCCCGTCCACGTTTACTTTCTTGCTGCGCGGTTTAACGCATAAATAAATCGTGCACATTGTCAGAAGAACATTCAGTTTCTTCATCAGTCGATCAATTAAAGCAATACGACTTTGGGATCCTTTCGACAAAAGTAAGCAATGCTTCAGTTGTCCGAGAAATATCCATCCATACATATATTTCTCATAGCGCCATAATGTCAGCTCACGATTATTACTTCCGTCTTTGATCACGTTATCTAGTTTTTCCGTATGTCTTCCAGTAGATAAAAGGCAATAGAAGCGATAGTCGTTCACAGACAGTCTCGCATTTTCGATGAATGGTATTCGGAGAATAATTCGCGAGTCACCTGCATCGTACGAATCAGCAGCCAGTCGAAGTAATCCATCCACCTTAGTGGAACGGGGTCTGATTGACTTCGACTCATCAGCACACTCTTTCAGCGATTCGTATATCATCCACAGTTGTTCTTGCACTTTATACACCTTGGACGGTTCTCTGTGCGGAACGATCGGTTCAGGTCTGGAACCTTTTTTCTCTGTTGGTGCAGAAGGATTTTCTAAGCGTTTCACTTTCTTTTCTATTTCTTTCTTCATCTTTGTATTAGTATCACCTATTAGTGCCAACAATTTTTCATAACAGCTCTCTGCATGTGCCTTGTCGTCGATCTTTTCATACGTTTCTACAGCAGTTTTCACTGTATTTATAACTTCGTTCGTGTTTGTTGTACATAACGTTTCCAGATATACTTCGTACAAAGCTAGCCATCTTGTTGGTACTACAGTCGTCAGTGCATTAGACCATTCGTATAGTTTTCTAAAACAAGATCGATTTGATTCAATACTTGGAACGGCACGTAGACTATCTTTATGCATTTCGATTGCTTTTCTGGACCACTTTGGACTATTGGTAAAACACCCATAGAATATGAGATTGAGTGGCGATTTATCCCTGAGACCTTGGTGCCATTGATTCTTCAGATTATTCCACCAGACTGTCCAGTTTGTACTGTTGAATTTTGTCTCGTCGTCCGCAGTTTCTTGTAACATGTCTAGAATATCCATATAGACTTGTCCATCTTCTAACTTCTCAAATTCTTCGATAATACTGGAAGCAGAAAATTTATTCTGCATATCTTCCGGCTCCGCTGGTTTCAATGTAATTAAAAGACAGGAGCCATTCTTTTCCGTTCGTTGTTGTTCGATTCGAATTAGACGAAAACGTGTACCAAGAGAAAATAATACTTCTTTTTCGTCGGGCATAGTAGACATTGAAGAAATATCTGCAAACACTGGTGCTTCATAGAAGAAGTTTTCTGCCGAGGCATAGTGATCGTCAGTGATGATGATTTCAAACAAACAAGAAACGACACCATCTGCAAATGGTATAAAGTCCAACGCAACATTCGGATCCCTTGATGTCGAACCAAATGTGGTCAAAGTGATAACAGGATGATTGGAGTTCCAGACTGAATAAAGATGATCCACTTGTTCTTCAGTTAGTTGTTGTCCTCGGTAAACACTCCGAATCAACTGTTCTTTGTCCAAATTGCGAAGATACTTCGATCGGCAGTCAGACAATTGACTATGTAAGTCACGAATAAACGGGCTGAATATCCTGATAAGTCGCATGTTTCGTGTACGTAAAGCATGATTGAGAACACAATAAACAAAACCATCGCGCGTGTATTCTCTGATAACATTGTTCGGTCGATATTGTTGCGACAACAGATTTATCTCATGAAGCTTTGCTTGATTATTCTTATAGTATGAACGGCATTCGTTGAACATATCATCGTACGGTAATGTTATGGTGTCAGGTGTGTGACAAATCATCGTAAGAAATAAATGAAACCATTGAGAAGTGGGTATTGACGATTTGATAAATGATCTTTGTTCGAATGGCCATCGGTTGCTGAATGTTCTGACATCTTTGTGAAGCTTTTCGATTAGTGTTGTTGGATCAGATGTTACACATCTGACTTTCTCGACTCCATTCGTCCACTCTATGTGGTGGTTCTCATGTCTACAATAGACGTATACGAATCTGAGTTGTCTTTTCTGTATGAGATGATCACGATATTGTTTTCCCAGTGTACCAGAAATGATTAAGAAAACATCTAGTTTTGATTGAAATTCATTAAACACAGGAATCTGTTGAATGTCATCGAATGATTGGAAACAATTGCCGTCAATTATCATTAGAAGTTGCTTATGAAAGTGTGGCTCATCGTCGACACCCACGATGGCAACGAGATAGTCATCAAAGTTATCAAGTGTTTGAAGATTTAGTGAGGATAGAATATATTCATCAATGAAACGTATGTTCGTTGCTTCTGCCATTGATTGTGATCAATAAAATTGATTTGAGAACCACGAACGCTAAAAAATGAAAATGTACCAGAGTGGGTGGATGGTTGCTGGTGTGCTATAGAGGTGAATGTGCATATTTGCTTTTAGTGTCCAAATATTTATGTATTTAAAATATAGAGCAAGATGAGGCACGTGTAGCATTACATGAAAAATAATCTGTATTGTTATTCTTTCGGTTGACTTTTTTTGTGCAAGGTTTTTTCTCTACTCAGGAGAAGGAGAACAGTGGGAAATAGCACACACACCATAGAAGCTGTATACAATGGGATTTTTCTCTTACATAAATGATAAAGAAAAATTTTTATCTGGGAATTTTGTTCCGATCTTTATCAGCAATGTTTTATCAAATATAGAAGCATTGAAGACCTGGTTGAAATAATGCTCGAATCTTATCTTGATGATGTGGGCGAGGGTGAAAGGTTTTACGATTGGAACTGATGGAGGCCATCAGACTGTATCTGGGACCGATAATGGAACTGTGTTAAGTCATGCAGAAGCGAATCGGCCTGGTGTTTTCTTAAACGGTTGTGTTTTTTTCACCGCTTTGACAGTTTTTTAGATTTTGGAACAATGGAATTTGTATGACTGGAATCAGTGAGATCAAAGTTGGAATGCATATAGGAAAAACTAAATCCTGAAAAACTCGGACGGGGAGATAAGATATCGTATCGGAAATAACAGGAGAATTATTTAAAAATCTGCTAAACTATATGTAATGGTTAATGTATATCTATAATTCGCCTTGGCAACCTGCTCGTTGGACATTGACCTTGCCCTCTCTTTGTTATATCACATGATTTAGTTCCGATACAAGTTATGAACAATAAAGAACCAACACTCTTGTGAGTGTACAGATGACACAAGATAACATCATACTGAAAAGTATAGGCGACCACTCCCATAATTCGTTACACTACACCCTTCTGTCTACACCCACTCGAAAGGCATGATATCCTAATCACAGCACCTTCCTTGAAATGAGTTAATTCTGCAGTTGAGATAATTCAGAACAAAATTAGATAACCTGTACGTATGTCATAGACTCTTTTCAAAGTCAGAGATTGTCCAATATTTCGTTTCGGTACTCTATCAAGTGTCACAATCAGAGTTCATCGATGAAGGACTTTATATTGAATAGTTCGACGAAGAAAGAGCTGGTTTCCCACTGCTCCTCTTTTTTTCTTTTCTCTCTTCTTTAGTTTTCTCAATGTTCTTGTCTACATTATTACTTCGCATTTGTTATAATCTTATATTTCATGATGTTTAATTTTCTGCAAAATGAAAAGGAAAAAAAATACTCCAAGAAAATATATTTCATTAAAAAAGAGAAAAAGACGAAGTGGCAAGCCAGAGAAAGGGAGAACAGCTGCGTAATAAAATATGGGTTCCCTAGAGAAAAAAAGTATGTTGTTGTTGCTCAACCTTGTTGATATTTCTGGAAGCACAGTCAACATCGACAGTAAAGTTTACTTTCGGTAACTTTTCTTCTCTGTGATTATTAAGTATTTTTCTTTCTCTCTCTGCGTAGATATGGTAGAAATCAAATGCATTTTCATGAAAGGCATACACTTTCAGTAGCTGTAGAGTATTAGCATCAACAACTGTGTTTGATTATTTCAGAGCGCACCGCATCCATTTTTTACGAAGTTGTCTTACCCATAAAGATACTAATTCAAGTCTGTTGCAAGCATAATCGTCCGGGTCGGTCTCAATGATAGCCCTCTTTAAGATTAATTTTTATCGAGTTCGATGTACGACTAGGAACTTTAATAATGAAGTTGAAGCAAAACACCCACAAAACTCACTTCGCCACCACCCGCTCCGACTTTATTGTTGATTTCTTTGATGTAAAGCTGTAATATGCAGGACGACGATTTCTGTCGAACATCGATAGCTAAGAGATATGTTCAAATATTTTAGATGGATCCTACAAAATGGACTATTGATCAAGTAGCAGATTGGTTGAATGACAAAGGACTGCATGACTACGTCAAGAATTTCAAAGGTATGGTAATGAAATCAAAGCTTACAGCTGTAGAACAAAGTATAACGGCTCATCGTATTGCGCCTAACTCATTGGTTTTCATTGAAAATCACCGAAAGGCAGGAAAAATAGTCAATTTTGAGAATTATTTCATTGATACGGACTCATGAATGGATTTCTTTTTTTTTCGAAATGATGAAGATTGTCATAAAACGCATAATGTTGTAGAGAATGGAATTGACGGGAAAACACTTCTGAGCGAAGGTCTTGGAGAAGCCGAGCAGAAGGAACTTATACCAGTCATGAAGGGTCGTATTACTTTCAAAGAAGCTTTGCAGAAACTCAAGTAAGCGCACATAATAAATTTTGATGCTTTTGTAAAATGGTCTGCTGTAGGAATTCGTTGGCATCTGATCAGACCGCGGTGTTATCCTCAACAGACGAGCCTCCGGTAAGTTTTAACATATGAAAAGATAGCTCATGATCTCTAGTTGTAGTCCTATGCAGACAGCACAATGAACACATCAGGTACGACGCCACTGGATAAGTATTTTCTGAAGTGTTCTCTCTGTCACTTAATGATACATGATAATATTGTAATGGACCATATGCAGCGGATTCACCATTCGTTGAAAATCTCTCAAACTCGCCTTTTTCAAACAACTATAGCCATTCATCCTTTTATTCTTGAATATCTTTAAGGGCTAGAACATCAAGAAAAAAGTACCAAGCCTGGATCTCAAGCACAAGCTTGGAACGAAACTGCGGATTCAGCTGATGTTACCTTAGCTTTGGACAAATCCTATGCTGGAATGTCATCTACAACGTGTAAAAAACCATCACAGGTAATTACGGATATGCGTACAGGTGAGGGTGAGGGTGTGGGTGAAGGTGGGTGATGGTATGATTAAACTGCAGTTGTACTATTCTCATTTGCCAAATCCAACTGCGATTGTAGTATGGAAATTGCGAGAAGCTATGCAGAAGGGGGCGGAATATAAAACGACATCATTACAGATAATCGCTGAATAAGAAATATGACAAGCACTATTGACAGGTTAAGATTTAGCAACTTTGCCTCGTATCAATAGTTTGGACATCAGATTTCTTTTTCTACATACATGGCACATTCGAATGTTTGATTTAACCATAGTTTTAATTCATAATTTGGTGCATCATCGTCGTAAAACTTTCTTTCGATAAGAGGACATTTATGCAAAGACGTTCTTGACTGTATTCCGACGTTTCATCTGATCGCCCCTTCATATATCTTAGAACTGAATTCCTACCAGTTCCAGAATTCCTTGACACGCTTCCACTCACCCACACCCATACCCCTTAAATGCTTTGTTCTTAATTAGGACGATCAATACGACACCATATCTACCGCTGACGTCAGTGTGACCATCATGGATGACCAGAGTAAGGATACGTTATCAACACCTTCAAACTCGACAAACAACCAAGAACCAACCGTACCAAAAGAACTACCAAATCTTCTAACGTCAGAAACTTCAGGTGAGTTTATTGGGTGTACAGAGTAGCAGATGTTGAACGATTTATTTCGTAATTACATTTCACCTTTGTCTTGCAAAACTAATCATTAGTCTGTCTGATTCTTAGGCAGAGCATCACGTGAAAACTCCGAGACGACCACTAAAATCAAAGTTTGGTGTCAAATTGACGGATATGAACCGGAAGGAATTCTACTCGATAGATCTGCTGATATTGATGATTTGAAAGGACAAGTACTTAGTGAACAAAGTACTAAACGCTCATACCGCGCTTATTACCAAAATCAATTACTCAATGCTAACACGCGTATTCCATTCGATACGACAGTTGATCGACCAGTAATTCTTAAGAAAATTGATCCATCGCAATCGACAGGAACTAATGGTAAATATATAATTCGCTGTTACACTGTACGGCTTTACTGTTGATTTTGTTAGATACAAAACCAAGCGTGACTCACACAGAAGCACATCATTCAAAACTACCAGGTAAAAATAAAATGACGCAGTAAGTCGGAAAATCACCGATCAAACAGACAGTTGTCATATGTGTACAAAAATTAGATCAAACGAACGGACGTAATTAAATTCTCTAACTATAAAGCGTGTATGTTTTGTTTCAGTGGCGAACGAAGGCGCGGATTTATTCTCAGAATTTCAAAGTATACTTCGAGGCCTGTTACAAGAATATCGTGTTCCAATAGAAGAGTTAAATTTTGATGAAGTTGCCCGTCTCCTTTACGACCAACACAACGAAGCATTAGCACAGATAAAGGAACTACTGCTCGAAAATGCTTTCAAAGAGTTTTCAAAAAAGTTCCTTGAACATCCCCGGATCAACGAAATATGGAGAAGTAGAAAAATGCAAGCAGAAGGTGGCATTTTCAAGAAATTTCAAGACGAACTGAAGGTCTTATGGGAAAAGTATAATGTCGATGCTGAGCTCGATTTCAATCGTGTATCACAACGACTATTTGACGAAGATATGAGTGTTCTTGAAGAAATTAAAGAACATCTTATACCCAGACAATTCAAAAATTTTACAGATGAACTGAATGCCAATGAATTGTTTAAGAAAGTCTGGCAAAGCAAAACATTGTCATCATCCAGCAGTACTGATGGTAATATGATGGAATTTAAAACCGAAATAATGAAAGTATTTCAATCGGAAAACATTCAATTGGATCCACCTATTCTTGAGGAACTACTACAAAAACTTCATAAAGCTGAGGATGAAAACATTGCGGATTTTTTCAAGGATTTGCTCATTCCGAAAAAAATCAAACTATTTCTTATAAAACTCCAATCGAACGAAAAACTCACAGCAATATGGCCAGCTAATATGGTAATTTTCGGTAATATCAAACGTATATTAGGTGTGTTGGTTGTTAGTAATATCGACGAACTCTACAGGCTTATATCAGAGCTATATTTCGATTGCCAAACCGGCATGAAACTGATCGAAAGCAAATGTACCGGTGAAATATTCAACAAAATCAAATCAGATCTCTATCAAGACCCAGAAATTCGAAGCAAAGTGTTCCACGAGACGGGTTCTATTACTACAGTCAGTGTTCCCGATAACAAACACGNATCTGCTGATATTGATGATTTGAAAGGACAAGTACTTAGTGAACAAAGTACTAAACGCTCATACCGCGCTTATTACCAAAATCAATTACTCAATGCTAACACGCGTATTCCATTCGATACGACAGTTGATCGACCAGTAATTCTTAAGAAAATTGATGCATCGAAATCGACAGTAACTAATGGTAAATATATAATTCGCTGTTACACTGTACGGCTTTATTGTTGATTTTGTTAGATACAAAACCAAGCGTGACTCACACAGAAGCACATCATTCAAAACTACCAGGTAAAAATAAAATGATGCAGTAAGTCGGAAAATCACCGATCAAACAGACAGTTGTCATATTTCTACAAAAATAAGAACAAAAGAACGGACGTAATTAAATTCTCTAACTATGAAGCGTGTATGTTTTGTTTCAGTGGCGAACGAAGATGCAGATTTATTCTCAGAATTTCAAAGTATACTTCGAGGCCTGTTACAAGAATATCGTGTTCCAATGAAAGAGTTACATTTTGATGAAGTTGTCCGTCTCCTTTACGATCAACACAACGAAGCATTAGCACAGATAAAGGAACTACTACTCGAAAATGCTTTCAAAGAGTTTTCAAAAAAGTTCCTCGAACATCCTCGGATCAACGAAATATGGAGAAGTAGAAAAATCCAAGCAGAAGGTGATATTTTCAAGAAATTTCAAGACGAACTGAAGCTCTTATGGGAAAAGTATAATGTCGACGCTGAGCTCGATTTCAATCGTGTATCACAACGACTATTTGACGGAGATATGAGTGTTCTTGAAGAAATTAGAGAACATCTTATACCCAAACAATTCAAAAATTTTACAGATGAACTGAATGCCAATGAATTGTTTAAGAAAGTCTGGCAAAGCAAAACATTGTCGTCATCCAGCAGTACTGATGGTAATATGATGGAATTTAAAACCGAAATAATGAAAATATTTCAATCGGAAAACATTCAATTGGATCCACCTATTCTTGATGAACTACTACAAAAACTTTATAAAGCTGAGGATGGAAACATTGCGGATTTTTTCAAGGATTTGCTCATTCCGAGAAAAATCAAACTATTTCTTATAAAACTTCAATCGAACGAAAAACTCACAGCAATATGGCCAGCAAATATGTTAATTTTCGGTAATATCAAACGCATATTAGGTGTGTTGGTTGTTAGTAATATTGACGAACTCTACAAGCTTATATCAGAGCTATATTTCGATTGCCAAACCGGCATGAAACTGATCGAAAGCAAATGTACCGGTGAAATATTCAACAAAATCAAATCAGATCTCTATCAAGACCCAGAAATTCGAAGCAAAGTATTCCACGAGACGCACTCTATTACTACAATCAGTGTTCCCGATAACAAGCACGAGTTGAGTGTCATTTCAAATTGTATACATATGAGGTCACGCAATCCTTTTCAATTGCAAGATCTTGTACAAGCTGGCGAATTGCAATATATCAATCAAACCTTGAAAGTCATTTCTGACGAATTAGTTGAAAATTACATTCGCAACCGTTGTAGTTTTCTTGAATTCATTCAAGATTGTCTGACACCAATTATGTATTTTTTGAAACGCTTGCAAAATTTAGATGATTTTATGAATGCATTAACATTCAAATATCAAACAGAAAAATACAACATGACAAATCCACCAAGCGACGATACAAATCTCAGTTTACGAATGGTATTACATGTTCTACTGATGAGCTCGGATATATTCTTACGTCGTATTATCATGTCATTGGCAAGTAAGAGAAATCCGGTGCCATTTGTTTCACCTGCTATTCTAAACCGCGATGCGAACCAGCAACATGAATTTATACCGGCAATTATCCATGTTTGGGATCACACAAGACCAACAATTTTGTCTTTTGGTGTCGGTTCTTGTCAGGGTAAATCCTCTTTACTGAATCAACTATTTAAATCGACATTCGAACAACGAATCGATAGCGTTTACTTCCAAGGAACAATCGACCTTGATTTCGGTTACTGTTTCGTTCCCGAACGTCTATTAAACATTGCTGATGCACATGGGACACTTGACAAACAGCTTTTGCAGAAAATTCAATCGTTATTCGATGGATTTCTAATCCATATCGACAAAACTTCTTTCGATAAGAATGCGTCTGGCGTACTTGAATATCTCGAGATCCTATCGCGTGATAAATTTCAATTCATGATCATCCGCGATTTACCCATCAATAATCGACAAGATTATTTCTCAAAGGCTCAAGCATTGTTGAAGCAATCAGATTCACGATTGTCAAAGAATGTGTATGTGTATCCATTAATAAATGCTTCAAATGCAAATGATCGAGATACGAGTTTCGCTATTCAGTCTTTACGAGAAGATATTCAGAAAAAAGTCACAAAAGACATCAACACAATCAATAGCAGGGCTGAAATTTTGTCTAATTTACACAGACTAATGCAGCCAGATTACGTTCAATACTTGAAAAAGATGGATGGTATTATTCAACCATTGACGAAACGACTATTAGACAAAAATCAACGCCGAAATGATCAGAATTTTCCATTGTACTTGAAATTTCAAGAATTGTGCAAATTACGACAAAGACTCAAACGACTTGATTTCTACGGTTCCGAAAGTGAAAATATGTTTGGAATCAATGATAAGTTATTCAGATTGGAAAACGAATTAGATCCATGCAGCAAACACTCCTCGCCAATTTCATCCGGGAATATTTTCCAATCATATGTCGATATCTTAAAGTCAGACAACATGTTAATGAGTTTAGATTTATTAGCAACTGAATTAAAATCTGCATTGCGAGGTTTAGGTGCGGATAAAATAGCTGGAAATCTCAACACTGAACATGCATTTTTATCATTGGAAGTTCTTTGGCGAAACTCAATTATTTGTCATGATCATTCATCACCAGAGACACAAAAGCTAATTCAAGATTGTTATTATGAATTCGTTGCAGCTGGCTTTCCGTTTGAAATTATCGATGGAGATAACTTCTATTTTCAACATCAGTTTTTATCAAAAATTCTACATCGATTCGCCTCGAAACGAATACTAGTTATAAGTATCATAGGTCCACAAAACAGTGGCAAAAGTACACTTTTAAACTATATGTTCGGTACATTATTTGATGTGAGAGATGGGCGATGTACGCGAGGCATTTATGGTTCATTAGTTAAACTGCCGAAACTTGATCAAGCACGCTGCGGACAGTTGGAAATCATCCTTAATACTAGCATACAAAATATTGATTATATGATGTTAATTGACACAGAAGGTCTTCTATCGATCGAGAAAGGAGATAAAGAATACGACAGACGTTTAGTTTTATTCTGCTTGGCTGTATCACATTTGGTCATTGTCAATATGTTGGGAGATGTCAATGAAGCGTTAAAAGATATGTTAACGTTGTGTGCTGATTCGTTGAAACAAATTGGTGTCAACACGGTCAATCAACCAATCGTGCATTTCGTTTTAAATCAAAAAGCTGATCCAAATTTGAAAAATCATATAGACGCAATTGGCAAAATTATTGACGATCTCAAAGAAAAAGAATTAGCTGAGACTATTGACATTAATGTCAAAACATTTCATTCACTGCCATCGGCGTTTAAGAAAGAACGCGTATCGAATGACACTTCAAGTGCGTGTTTTCTCCGAACAGAACCTGATTTTATTGAACGTACTCAAGAATTATGCAAGAAAGTCATCGAATCCGCTAAGTCAGCTTATGAACGATGCAGTGAGATGTTTTCCAATCCCGAGCAATGGCTAAAAACAGCTGTGAACATATTTGATACATTGCAGAAATTTCCAGATTTAACTTATTTCAAGGACATCAACGAGCGCCGACAAGATGATGAAATACGCAAGAAAATCAGTGATCTCATATCCGCAACATTATCGGCAACATATCGAGAAAAAATGATCCAGGGTACATGCGAATTCACGGAGTATGACATTCGCAATCATTTTCAGAAAGAGTTTCAAGTGCATCAAGAGAATTTTGATATACAATTAGAGAACATTTTCAAAATTACTAACGCCTCCGATCGTATTCGAGATCGATCGCAACAATTTCTTCAACGACAAGTGACAGAAATACGTAATGCTTGGTGTACAGCAGCTATTCAAGCACGTGACAAAAAACAAATGGAAAAACTCGTCAAAGATGGTTTTGCTGATCTGCGCAAATTCATTGATGATATCATTAAACGTGGAGACACAAAGAACAAAGAAGAAGCAACAAAAGAGTTCGAACTCATGTGGCTAAGGAAGATCAAGTCGATCAAACAGAATTTCAATCCAGTGGAACGATTAAAACAAGCCATAAATTTTGTATATGCAAATTATAATATTTTCGAAAAACAATCTCTACCAACTCATGATTGTGTCCTCCAGAACCTCCAATTAATTCAAAAACTCATTGAAATCAATGATATGAGAAACGTCGTAGATACATTGAAGAAAAATTTCAATAAATTAACTACTGACCTTCAAAGTCATGCGCTGGAAGTTTGTCATAAACAATCAGACGCTAGTGTTGGATATACCTTGGCTACTCTGCACAATTTTAAACATTTGAACAAGGATATATTGACAGATTTCAATAAGGCGGGTTCTGTGCAAGCAAACACTTCTGAAACCTTCAACGTGTCACCAGAGGAGAACGTGGAACAGGTAGAACGGAAAAAAGAAAATTGTTGCAAAGAGGTATGAACTTCGCTGGAAATGTTATAGGTTTTGGATCACCGCAAGCAGCGTCGAATATACCTTCTGCACCCGCCATTCCAACGCCATTACCTTTTGATTTCATGAAAGCAACGCATGAAATGATTCTAAATGAATTGGACAAGAAATCAAACGCTATTTCAAACATTTGCAACATTCCAAAGTTTTTCGACAGAATCCTACACGATGTCATGACTATCGTTAATGGAAATGATGCCGTTCCTCGACCTATTGAAACGGATGA